CATTCTCCCAAAACTATTTCCGGAAGAGATAGAAAACTTGAACAGACCAATAACAACCAAGGAAATTGAAGAGGTAATCAAGACTCTCCCAGCAAACAAAAGCCCAGGCCCAGATGGTTTCACGGGGGAGTTTTACCGAACATTCAAAAAAGAACTAACACCCATTCTCCTCAAACTATTTCAAAAAATTCAAGAAGAAGGAAGACTTCCAAACACGTTCTATGAGGCCAGCATAATTCTAATTCAAAAACCAGAAAAAGACACTACGAAGAAAGAAAACTACAGGCCAATATCCCTGATGAACATAGACGCCAAAATTCTGAACAAAATATTAGCAAATCGGATCCAGAAGTACATCAAAAAAATTATTCACCATGACCAAGTGGGATTCATTCCAGGGATGCAAGGCTGGTACAATATTCGCAAATCAATAAACGTGATACACCACATCAACAAAATGAAGAATAAAAACCACATGATCATATCAATAGATGCTGAAAAAGCATTTGACAAAATCCAGCATCCATTTCTGATAAAAACGCTCAGCAATGTAGGAATAGAGGGATCATATCTCGACATAATAAAGGCCATATATGAAAGACCTACAGCCAACATCATACTCAATGGACAGAAACTAAAAACATTTCCATTAAGAACAGGAACAAGATAGGGATGTCCACTTTCGCCACTCTTATTTAACATTGTACTGGAAGTCTTAGCCACAGCAATCAGACATGAAGAAAAAATAAAAGGGATCCAAATTGGAAAGGAGGAAGTGAAACTGTCATTATTTGCAGATGACATGATATTGTACATAGAAAACCCTAAAGACTCCATCAAAAATCTATTAGACTTAATAAATGAATTTGGCAAAGTAGCAGGATACAAAATTAACGTCAAGAAATCGACGGCATTCTTGTACATCAATGATGAACTCACAGAAAGAGAAACTGAAAAACAATCCCATTTACCATCGCGCAAAAAAAATTACGATACCTAGGAATAAACTTAACCAAAGAAGTAAAGGACCTATTTGCAGAAAACTACAGATCATTGAAAAAAGAAATAGAGGAAGATATAAAAAAGTGGAAGCACATACCCTGTTCATAGATTGGAAGAATTAACATAATTAAAATGTCCATACTACCCAAAGCAATCTATAGATTCAATGCAATCCCCATCAAAATACCAACGATATATTTCATAGAACTAGAACAAATACTTCAAAAGTTCATATGGAACCAAAAAAGACCCCGAATAGCCACAGCAATCTTGAAAAAGAAGAACAAAGTAGGTGGGATCACAATACCAGATATCAAGTTATACTACAAAGCGACTGTAACCAAAACAGCCTGGTACTGGCACAAGAACAGGCATATAGACCAGTGGAACAGAACTGAAAACCCAGAAATGGACCCAAGGCAATACACTCAATTAATATTTGACAAAGGTGGCAAGAGCATACATTGGAGTAAAGACAGCCTCTTTAATAAATGGTGTTGGGAAAATTGGACAGCTACATGCAAAAAAATGAAACTAGACCATCAACTTACACCATACACAAAAATAAACTCAAAATGGATAAAAGACTTAAATGTGACCCGTGACTCCATAAAAATTCTAGAAGAAAATGTAGGCAACAAAATTTCGGACATCATACGGAGCAGAATTTTCACTGATACATCACCTAAGGCAACAGAAATAAAGGAGAAAATGAACACATGGGACTACATCAAACTAAAAAGCTTCTGCACAGCAAAAGAAACAATCATCAAAATAGAAAGGCAACCCACTGTATGGGAGAACATCATTGCCAATGATGTATCAGATAAGGGGTTAATTTCCAATATATATAGAGTGCTCATACAACTCCACAAAAGGAAGACAAAGAACCCAATTAAAAAATGGGCAGAGGAGCTGAATAGACACCCCTCCAAACAGGACATACAAATGGCCAAGAGACATATGAAGAAATGCTCAACATCACTAATCATCAGAGAGATGCAAATTAAAACAACAATGAGGTATCACCTCACACCTGTCAGAATGGCCGCCATCAACAAATCATCAAACAACAAGTGTTGGCGAGGGTGTGGAGAAAAGGGGACTCTAACACACTGCTGGTGGGAATGCAGACTGGTGCAGCCGCTATGGAAAACAATATGGTGCTACCTCAAAAAATTAAAAATTGAACTTCCATTTGACCCAGTGATCCCACTGCTGGGAATATACCCTAAGAAGCCTGAAACACCAATCAGGAAGAATATATGTACCCCCATGTTCATAGCAGCACTATTTACAATAGCTAAGATCTGGAAACAGCCCAAGTGTCCACCAGTAGACGAATGGATAAAAAACCAGTGGTACATATACACCATGGAGTACTATGCAGCGGTAAGAAAGAAAGATCTCTTATCCTTTGAGACGACATGGAGGGACCTGGAAAGTATTATCCTAAGTGAAAGTAGCCAAGCAGAAAAAGACAAATACCACATGATCTCACTTATATACGAAATATAATGAACATAACAGTCTGAGGAATACAGTAGACCCAGACACATGGAAGTAGGGCACAGACTGACATCCCTCAGAAGAGGGGATGAGGGGTGGGGGGGTGGGAAGAGATAAACCACAGAACTTATATGCATGTATGCATGACCAATGGACATGGACAACTAAGCCGGGGATGGGGTGGAGGTGGGGTGGGTGTGCCAATGGGGTAAAAAGGTAAAATATCTGTAACAAAAAAATAAATAAAAATTCATAAAAACAAAACAAAAACAAAACAAACAAACAAAAAACTGTGCTACATTTACACAATGGAATATTACTCAGCCTTAAAAAAGTAGTAAATATTACCTTTTGTCACAGCATGGTTGTACTTGAAAAATATTATGCTAAGTGAAATAAGCCAGTCAGAGAAAGTCAAGTACCATATTATTTCACTTATATGTGGAGACTAATGAACAAAATAAACTAACAAAGTGGAGACCAACTCATGGATACAGAAAACAGACTGACAGCTCTCAGAGGAGAGGAGGTTAGAGGCTAGGTGAAAAGGGTGAAGAGAATAAGCAAAGAAAAAAAACACACGAATCATGGACACAGACAACAGTAAGGTGATTGCTAGAGAGAAGGGGGTTTGGGGTTAAGTAGAAGTGGGTAAATGGAGATAGATGATGATGGAAGGAGACTTGACCTAAGGTGCTTAACATACAATTCAAATGCAGATAATGCATTATAGAATTGTATACATGAAACCTATAAAATTTGATTAACAAATGTCACCCCAATATATTCAATATAAAATGAAAAATAATTTTTCAATACTATTAGCACATCTATGTTATTAGAAACATGATGTAATATATTAGTTTTTGTTTTTGAAAGAGGGTATCCAAGTCAAATACCAGAGATTTATAAATTAAAAAATAAATAAATAAAATTTAAAATCCTTTTTTATGTTTTTTTATTATTTTTTGTTGTATCTCAGAATATAATGTATTCCATGAGAATGAAAGTTAATATAGAAGTAGAATTTATATTGACTGAATAAAATATAACTAAAGGTTTTACTGTTGACTTACTATAAGCTATATCTTTGTGTTCAGTAGGCAGAATGACTGCCTGGGTAGCAAAAAGTCTCTATGGTTTTTATTTCTATTTTCTTCAATTCTACTGATGGGCAAACTGAGGATGTGCAAAGCACAGGGAAGAAAAGAATTCCCAATTTGATTGAAGTGTCTTATAGAGTAACGCTTTAGTTTGCACAAAAGTATGTATCAATCTTTCCTAACTTATATATCCATCAGTTGTGTTATTAGCATGTGGTTTTTAAATTGTATGTTTAAATGTAATTTGGAAGCATGGATTCTTTGGAGCAGTTACGGATGTTACATAATAAATTTGAATTTACTTTTGAGAAAATTGGTATAGGATAAATTTTAGCACTAAGAAGCTTTGTTTAAGGTTGACATAGTTTAGGGAAAAGGTGGGAGTGTCACTTCTGAACCACTTGGCCTCTCCACCTGGGCCTGATGTTCCTCTGCTTGTCAATGAGGAGCCAATAAAAACACTGAGTGAAACCATCTGTAATAAAGTTAATTTGTTTCCCATCAGCACATCCCGAGGGCAGTAATTATAAATGAAACATGGATCTAGGAGGCATCACTATTGGAAATCCCATACTTGTCAAAGCTTGGATTTTTAACAGTCACATGTATGGGAACCCCCTTCCCACTCTCCTCTCTCCTTCACCTTTTCCTCAACCTTCTCTAGTCAGGCCTTTGATGACAATCACCAGCCTCTCTATTGTCTTTATGTGTAGGATGTACATCTTCAACCTATCCAGATAGTATAGAAAAGATATGGAAAGTGATTAGAAATGGCTATTTAATGAATATATTTATATTATGAATTATATATAAAAATATACTTAATGCCTATGGCAATGCTACAAACAGCTAATATAAGACATACTTTAGAAATGACAAAAAACACGAGGTTTGGAGATGTTAAATATTAGTTGATCAAGGCCGCACAGTTAGTAAGTTACTAACTTGGGTAAAATTGAGGCCCTCTGTTTCTAGAGTCCTAGTGATTGTGATGTTGCTCTGAGTGAACAGTACCTCCTTTGTAGAGAGGAGAAGAGGAACACCAGTGGATGACTGTGAGTATATGTGTGTGTGTTGGAGGGGGGTGTCTTTTGCATTTCTAACCTTGCACTTGCAAATTTGTGTTTATTTTCCTCCCTTCAGGAGTTTGCCTACTCTTAGGTCAGCTGACTGGGGTGAACACTCAGGGTGAGTACTTTTTTTTAAAATATGTTTTTATATTTTTTATATGTTTTTATTGATTTTTTTAGAAAGCAAGGAAGGGAGAGAGAGAAACATCCATGCAAGTGTAACATCAATCGGCTGCCTCCTGCACGCCCCCTACTGGGGACCAGCCCACTACCAAGGCATGTGCTCTGGCTGGGAATCCAACCTCTAGGTCCATAGGACGACACTCAATCCACTGAACCACACTGGCCAGGCTGGGGTGAGTACTTTTGATTGTATATTCTAAGGCTAGGTTTTCTAATAATAAGAATAACAGAGAAACTAGCATGCTTTCCATATAACTGCATTCAAAATGTTAAAAAAAAGAATCCTTCTTTAAACAACTAAGAATAACATAACACAATATCAATAATTTCAGCAGAAATTGGAAGCATGTTATCATTCAAAACTCTTTTTTATTTTGGTTGTTTAAAATTCAGACCATATTTTCAGGAATAGTATTAAAGAGGGCAATTTGGATTCCAAGCTACTTTATAAAAACCTGTTTTACTAATAAAAGAACTGAAATATTTTGAATTTATAATAAAAATAATAGAGAATAATGCTATTGTAATGCTAGCAATTAAAATAAGTAAAAATGGTAGGCTAATTAACTTTTAGATACTTTGCATGACCTACAGCTTAAGGAAAAGCAGTATGGCATAAGAGCTCAGAGTTTGCTCTGGGATCAGAATGTCTCTCTCTAAAATCAATAGAGAAAAAGAAATCAAATTGTGTTCCCCCATTCTACCATATAGTCAAAGTATAGCAATGTATGATGCATGAGGTAAGACTAATTTTAAAAGAAAACTTAATATCTAGATAAATGTTTGTCAAAGAAATTGACTTGAACTGCTATATGCACATTCCAATGACCATAACAATTCCTCATCTTCTTAAGATGAACAAAATAGAAGCAAAGGCATGGATACATAGAATGACAGCTGTAAGAGGGGAGGGGGTTTAGGGAGCTAGATGAAAGAAGGTGAAAGAATTTAGCCAAAGACACACACACACACACACACGCATATAAACACATAGACACAGACAACAGTGTGGCAATAGTCAGAAGAAAAGGGGGTTAGTGGGTAGGTGGAGGTGAGAAAAGTAGGAGAAAATGGAGACAGAAAGAAACTTTGCTTGGGGTGATGGGTACACAATGCAGTGTACAGATAATGTTTTATTGAGCTGTACAGTGGAAACATGTATGCTTTTATAAACCAATGTCACCCCAAGAAATTAAATTAAAAATAATTTATTTTTTGAGTCAGTTGAGCCAATCAGAAAGATGATGCATATTACATTATGGTAATTAAATGTGCTCCCAAGAACAATGGTCTATAACTATTGATTATGTTCTCAAAATTGGATCTATTTGTGGATTATAAATAGTTGAAAAACAAAAGCATCTAGTCATTAACTACCTTTATTGTTGCATATAGATGTATGTTAACCTACACCAGAGAGCTCTACACAGCCATGGGGAGCCCTACAATTTGAAAATGGCCAGGTATCTCTAGAGGGACTGTGAGGAGGGCCTGATATGCTTCCATTTGCATTGGAAGGAACAGCCACCCCTACCCCTAAAATAAGATTCTTAGGAAGCCTATGTATTTAAGCTAATCCAAGAATAAGGTAGTGTTATTCAAAGGAAGGAAAATAATATGTCAAAGTCTTATATGGTATCTGTCACTTATATAAGTTTCTGCCAAATGGGAAGAGAAGACTGTAATTGAAACTAAATATGCTGCTTCACTAAATGGTTAAAAGTCCTCAATAGTAGTGTGAGGTTGCAAAATACAAAGATGATTTTCAGTGTTATTGTGGATCAGAAGCATGTTTACAACTATCTGATAAAACAATTCAACAGACCTGGTCCTTCAATGTTAAAAAAACAATTGTTTATGAAGTCCTCTTATAAATACTTGTATAATACTTATCTAGAGAATATTAATTTTGACAAGAATTTTTATTTAATGGAGGCACTGTAATGTAGTGTAAGAGCACAGGCTAGGTTTGAATGCCAGCCCCATCTTTTGTGACCTCAGGAGTGGTCATTTGCTGACTCTAAGATCCAGTTTTTTAGTGTGTACCAGAAAGAATGTTGGTCAAATACATAGTGCATTATCTAACTAGTTGAATTTCTGGATTGCTCAACACAAGTCCTGGGGAATTGATCTGTCTTCACTTTTCTATTCAATCTGCAATCTACTAAAGAAAGACTCCTATTAGTTCAAATAACTACTTGTTTAATAGCACTTTAGATAACAATGGGCCAGGGTAAAAAGTAAAACAATATTGATGTTTCAAAGAAGTGTTCTGTGGTTCTTTGCTTGTGTCTTGCCATCCTGTGATTCCTCTGGCAGTAGTTATGGTTTGAAGTAGTGATGGTTTCTGTTAGACCCAACTTAACTTAATCTTCTATTCTCTAAAGCTTGTAGAGTTCAAACTCTATGATCTCTCTCTCTCTCTTTCTCTCTCTCTCTCTCTCTGATTTCTTCTGTACACTGTGTATTTAACATTTCACTTCTTTAACCTCTTTCTAACTATCACAGGGCCAAACTATCACCTATATTTTAGAAATGTTCTGGACAGATTGGAAAGAGTAAATTCTTTATTTATTTTATCATTTTTTTTCCCCCTGGAAACCTGTTCCTGATCTCCCTGCCTCCAGTCTTGCAGAATTTTAAACTAGACCAGAATCATTTTTCTAGAGACAAAAACTACAATTTCACTTCTCATCCTACCTCCTTTAAATGCTTTAGTGGTTCTCCATGTCCTTTAAGATAAAGGTTCAACGTATGTTCATGGCTTACACAACCTTTTGTAATATACCTCCAGCCTGATTCTTGATTTGCTTTCTTCTACTTGTGGCCTTTGCGTGCCCCTTACCTGGCTACACTCCTTGCTTTAATGTATTTGCTCACACTAATGCCCTGGTCCCTTTCTTGTTGGCATGTGGCTAACCACTGCTCCTGATTAGAGTTAACACAGGCCCTATTTTTCCCAGAAAGACTTCCCTGACCCCCATCTTTCTCTCTACAGTCTGGTCAGGTACCCCTGGTGTATAGTCTGAAGGGCTTACAATAAAGATTAAAGAAGATAAAGCATGTGGAAACACATGATGCACAGTAGGTTTTCAGTAAATAATTATATTCTGAACATTATCTAGCCTGTTTCTGGGTTGTCTTTCAGAGTTTCTTTAAAAAATTATGTTTTTTTTTCTTGATTCTAACACTTCCCCATCACTTATTAAAATATATATTAAGCTTCTTGTCAGATGTATGAATTATTATACAACTGAAATTAATTTCAGACCATTCTTATCAGCTTTCTATTTTGGGATAAACATGGCCTTATATACCCCCTTAAATAGGTAGGGTTTTAAGAATCTTTTTAAAGTTCTCTACCAGCTATAACATTATTGGACTATAAGAATTATTTTTGTAAAACTCCTTAACACAGACAAAGTCAAGTTTCTGGAACCTGATTATACAATTTAAAGTTGTTTAAGGCCTTAGTTCCTTCTGTTCCCTCTCCTCTTTCCCTCCACTGCATGCCCTTTAGTCATTTTTACTACTCCAGGCAGGGAGGCAAAAAAGAAAGGCAATGTTGACACAGCAGATTTGGTAAAATGCATGATGGGAGAGGTTGAAACAGTTGATTAAAAGAGATTTCTCAGATTCATATATCCCTCCACCTCTTTAGACTGACCAAGATAAGTTATCTAGGAAATAACTATGCTTCCTTTATTTTTATGTATTTATGTATTTATGTATTTATTTATTTATTTATTTATTTATTTATTATTTAGATAACAAATGCTTAGTCCACATAATTCATGAGCTCCTTACTCTCCATTTTACTCAACTACAACATCTCCTTCACAAATTTTCAATCCTGTTTTCTTTACTAAGCTTGCTTGAGATTTGTCTGTCCTGCTTATCTCTGTGTGCCTTCTCACACTTGCATCCCTCTGTTTTAATTAAATAAGGAATGAAGGACATGAGGGCTTGAAGGTTTGGAACATATGCTGTGTCATCCTGACATCTTCTATTTTCCTAAAAAAATCTTACTGAAATTGCCAGTAAGTGATATAAAGGGAGCTCCTAGTTGTGCCTCAAACTGACTTGGAGATTTTATGTAGAATTCTGCAATGCCAGCAGCTGCTCAGCTACATGTATTCCACATAACTCCTTTTATAGACTTGGCTTACAGCCAGATTCTGTTACCAGCTTCAGTGCCAAGAGCCAATGGCTACTTAGGTTCAAGAAAACTTACTCTGACCTAGAACTTTTTTTTAAATTCAGCTGACAAAGGCAGAACACTGTGGTTTCAATTATCCCAGGGAATATCATGATACTGCTTACAGAATTAAGATTGGACCCTGGTAGCAAGGCTGATTCTATTGTTCGTATGACTTTGCTACCCTAGGTCTACAGTTTGTCACAGGTGTTTCCACAACTAAAGGGCCAGCAAGGCAAGCCAGTGAGTTCAGTTCTGATTTAAATTTAACCATTACTGTCAGTGGTGGTCAAGGTAGTATCTTTCCAGAGATAGCCTCTAGCCAAAGACAGTACTCTGTGCCCCCAGTTCTTGTCTTGCTTGTAGAAATGAATTCAAATAAGAAACAACAAATAGCAGCAAAAGCAGACAAGGATTTATTTGTAGGAAAAAAGTACACTCAGATAGAACCTGAGTGGGCAACTTAGTCAGCCAAAGCCAAACCAAATGCCCCAATATTTGGAAGTTCAGAAGATTTATACCCCTAGGCTGAAATGCCCCTATGCAAGGAGCAAGCCAGGCCCTCCCTCGTGTCTCAATAAAATATAATATATATCTTTAAACTATGAGACTCCTTCATGTAGGTGTTGTGCCATTGGTTAGACCACATCCTGGAGAGGCTCTAAATCTCTCCTCATATAGGGGTGTGCTGCATTCACTGTCCATTTTTGGTTTGTCACATCTTACACATATTTTCTCCAATCCCTTTCCCAGTTAATATATTTCTATCTGCCTACTAAGAGATATTAGCCAAATTTATCTGGGAAGCTGAAGGATGTAGTTCTGACTTCTGGATGTGCATCCTGCTGAGTTTGGATATGGAGGTGTGTTGGCCTAATATCCCTTGTTCTCTGGGAGTGGCTGGGTTAGAGTGGCATTAAAGCATTGTGTAGCTTGATCTAGTGGGTGTTGTTGCATGGGCTGATTTAAGTAGGTCAGAAGCACATTTGGAATTGGGTGCAATCCTTGAGCCATTATTATTTGAAGTCATAAAGCTTTTATTTGATCTGAAGTAAAGGAGACAAGGGTGTTTAGAATTAGGGGTCCAGAGGGTTATTAAGAGTCCTAATAGGATTGGGACAAAGGTAGTTAGAATAAAGGATGGTGGAAATTAGAGGACTCCAACAAAAAGGGTTTTGTATTTATTTTCAAGGTTCATGGCTTGTATGATGAGGATTCTAATGCTGTCTTGTACCTGAGGCGATTAATTAACACAGAGTATAGAAAAGGTTAGAACAAGCCTCAAATGGGTTGTCTGGTGGTGTATAAGTGAACAAGCAATGAGGAGAATGATTGTACAGATATTTGAGAAAATTCTAATTCCATCCTGAAGGAAAAATACAAAGCTGCATGTATTGGTCAAGTACCATACAACAAACCTATAAAAGAGCAACAAGCTAGAATAGAGGCTGTTTTTAAATCTCATTATTAATCATTACTTATCTTTTGTAAAATTTTCTTGACAGGTAACTCCTTTTTTTAATGAATAGTTTTAAATTTTCTAGTGGTTCGGCCATCCAGATTTCAGAGGGTAATTAATTCCACTGCCTGTCCTTCATCCAGATTGGAATATGGCTTTATTCAGGTGTGATATATTCAACTGGCAATGCCCAGAAACTTAATGGTTGTTAGACCAGAAAGTACAACAGTGTATGGCCCTTTTCTGTTTTCTTTCTCAAATTATACTGTCTCCCTGTAGATGGTTATACAGGGGTTTGGACTTTTTTCCATATCTCAAGAACCAAAGCCTATAATATCCTGTTAGCCTCCAAAGGCTCTTAATTGTCTGGCTGTGGTGGGATTGGGTATATTTTAGATAATACATATTTTCTTTTGGGATAGGATTCTTTCTTCAGGAGTCAATATTAGACCCAAGTAGTCTATTTTTTGTTTTAGAAGCTATGCCTTTTCTTTAGAAATTTTATATATTTTTTTTGCCAAGAGATTTAGAGTCTACACTAGGTGTTTTTGCCCTAATTCTTGGTGGGAAAGCAAGTTAAAAGGTCATTAACATATCATGAGATTTGTCTGCCTCCCTTAAGTGATAAATCTTGTAAATCCTTTGCCAAGTCTTGCCCAAAGAGATGGGATCTATCTCTGAAGTCTGGAGGGAGGACAGCCCAAGGAAGTTATTTTTGAAACCCCTGTGTATCTGTCCATTCAAAGGCAAAAGCAAATTGACAAGCTGGGTCTAATGGAATACAGAGGAAGCATCTTCATTTTATTTATTTATTCTTAAAAAAAAAATTTTTGTCTTTATAGATTTTAGAGAGAGAGGAAGGGGGAGAGAGAGAGAGAAAGAAACATCGATGAGAGAGATCATCGATCTGGCCCACAACCTGGGCATGTGCCCTGACAGGGAATCAAACTGGCGACCTCTTGGTACATGGGTCAATGCTCAACCACTGAGCCACACTGGCTGGGCTGGAAGAAGCATCTTTTAAATCCAGTGTTAAAAACCATTGTGTCCTTGATGGTATTCTGCTGAGAATAATATAAGGATTTGGAACTACAAGGTCAATAGAAACTATTACCTCATTAATTATTCTTAAGTCCTGAACAAGTCAGTGTTTCCCTCTTTTTTTTTTTTATTTTATTTTTTTTATTTTTTATAGGTAGAATAGAAATGTACAGGGACAATTGCAGGAGATTAAAAGGCCACATTCAAGGTATCTGGATATAATTTCTTGTAGGCCTGCTCTTACCTCAGAGTTAATAGGGTATTTTTTCTTGTGAGAAAATTTTATAGGATCTTTTAATTTAATCATGACAGGTTTGTCATATTTAGCTCAACCCACTGTTCCTGCTTCTTAAGCCTGTGGATCTATGTCTACATCTAGGTTTTTCTCATAGCCTTTTAATTTGTTGATTTTAATATTAGGAGGTTTATTGTTTTTTCAGGAACAGAGAAGATTACACTAGTTCTCATTTTGGTTAATATGTCTTTCCCCAGCAAGGGGGAAGGGTATTCAGGTATTATAAGAAATGAATTAACAAATGTGTTACATCCCCAAAGGCAATTTAAAGGAGTTGTTCAATGTTTTGAGAATAGGTTTCCCTCTACTCCCATTACCTGTCTTGCTTGTGAGGAAACCTTTCCAGAGTAGGAAGTTGGCACAGAGTAAGTGTCTCCTGTATCAAGAAGAAAATTAATAGGCCTATTTGCCATATCTGGGGTATCTAGGGTTACCCTTGACTCCATCCCTGTAATGTTGTTAGTTTTAGTGGGAACTGACAGAGACTAAGGGCCCCATCAATTCAAGGCCATTAAGGAGTGGGAATCTGACCCAGAAGCTTTCCAGCCCTCAGGACAGTCCCATTTCCAGAGGCTTATCTTGTGACATAGAAGGCAAAGCTTGCTAGGTCTGATAGAGCCCTCTGTAGACATTCTGGTCTCCAAAGCCCAGCCTTCCTGCATTGGTGACAAGCACCAGGAGGGCCTTTTTGTCTCTGGCCTGAGCCTTGGCAGGGTTTTCCCTTCCCTGGACATTATCCCTTTAATGCAGCTAATAACTGTGCCTGTTTTTTCTCCTCATGTTCCTCCTTTGTCCAAGCTCTTTTTTTCTTCTCTTGGTCTTGAAAATAAAAGACCATGTTGGTATAGTTAAAATATTAGCAAGTGGATTGAAAGACCTATGCCCAACTTTTATAACTTTCTCTTTATGTCTGAGGCAGATTGGGTTATAAATTTTTCCTTTAACACTATGACCCTGACAGAGGGTCTTTGGGATGCAGGTCAGTTAATTTAATGATTTAATGATTGCCTCTTTTAGCCTTTCTAAAAAGGTTATATAATTTTCCCAAGATCCCTAATCAATAGCCAATTTTTTATAATTGACCGTTTTTCCCCTCTTCAGTCCCTGAAGTAAACAATGTAACATATGTTCCTGAGACCATATTCAGTTTCCATAATTATAGCCCCACTTTGGATCATCCTAAGGGATAGCTTCATTTCCCAAGGAATAGTCTGGATTTTTTAGCATTTTATACAGTAGCATATTCCCTTTCAATTCTGCAGACCATGTTCCTCTCAAGAGTGAGTTAATCTAGAAGTAGATTCATGTCTCTCCTGGTTAGACTGAAAATCAGGATGATTTTTCTCCATTCATCAATAAACTTGTCAGGGGCATCTGCGAAGCTTCCTAGCTTTTCCTTGATTGTCATTAAATCTTACATAATAAAGGGAACTTGTTCTCTAATTACTCTCTGAGGACCCATTGCCCTTGGGTGTGATTCCTAGGTATGGAGGTGCTGGACTCTCTGGTGTAAGCTGGGGCTGGTGCAGGTGCTGTTGCCTTAAGAACTTTTGATGAGCTATTTCTTCCTTTTGGAGGGGGCAGTGTTTGGGACCATGGTCATTATAGCAAGCATGGCAAGGCCTATTTTGCAACTTTTCCATAGGCTAGGGTCATTTTGTAGAGACATTAAGGCTTAGATATAGGGTACCTCTGTCCATTTGCCCTGTTAACAGCAGAATAAATCAAGTTATAAAATTGTATTGTAATTCAGACTGCTGTCTTTAGACCATGTTTCCTAATCCTCTAATTTGTATTGTGGCCAGGCTGTGTTGCAGAGAAATATTAACTCTTTCTATATAGAGTTTGGGGGTCAAATTTACCCCAGTTTTCAAAATGTATTCCAAAAGCTAGTCTTGGGGAATAGAGGTGGTATTTTCCATCTGAAAGAGAACAGAGGATAAAAATACTGGGGACTCCAGACCTCGAACTAGCTAACTACCTGTCTTATAGAAAAAGCCAAGATCCTGTATTCTGAGGGAAGACAACCTACGATCTCCTTCATGGCCAGTCAGGGAGAGGATGAATTTACTCTGCTAAGACAGGGCACTTTTTATATTGTGTCGAGCAGTGGGTACTCCTATCTCCTAGACACCCTGGACCTCGAACTAGCATGACTAGTGGTAACATGGTCCACGCACCTCACCTCCCTACGCAGGGGACTTCTCTATTGCTCTAATGATGTTGCCACCATAATTTTTGTACTTTCCTGAACTGAACTTCACCCTGCAGATCGCATTCCTGAACACTGGGCTTACTGTATTTTCTGATTGTATACTCTATTGCTTTGCCGTAACTATGGCCTGTAAAAATTTTAAGGACAGTTAATCCAGCCATTTGGTTTAATGAAGGGACCTGCCCCATATCCCAAAAGGTTTTATAATTAGAGAGAAAGTTAACCCAGTAGGTATGGGCACGCAAGGAAAGATAAACTTGCCACTTATTTAGAGTTATTTTTTTTTGTACCTTCATCTCTGGGCCTCCGTGGTCTCATGCATGTTAAATGTCTAAAGAAATGTGGGAGGCCACATTCACTCAAAAGAAAGGTGGGAAGTCTAGACCCAGGAGTGACTCCAAAGATTTTCCTAAATTTGCAAGCCAAACATCTTTTATTGTCTTGGGATGTCCTTATTCCTTCCCTGGGGTAAAGACTCATACAGTGTTCTGTCATTTTCAGTCCACCTTTAGCTTCATGACATATGCAACAATTTATCAAATTGCTATTTCTACAGAGAGGAAGGTGAGAATGTAGATCAAGAAGCCCAGTCAGACAGGTAAGGCATACTAAATCACAACAAAACATATGTAACAAAATAATTCACCAGGAAAGTGGGTGTGAAGAAGTCATGACCATGAGCAAAATTCTAGGGGAGTCATTGTGGTAGTTCAAAGTGTGTTGGTTGTGGAGGGGTTTCCCAGAGGCTGTGACACCACTGGTCATGCCCACTGCTGTTAGGTACCTCCGTTTCTCTCATCAGCTGTGAGGGCCTGTAGTGCTAAGTGACCAACCCTTATATGCACTCCCTGGATGGGTCAAAGTTCAATTACAAGTATAGGCTGGAATGCCCCTATGCAAGGAGCAAGTCCCTCCCTCCCTCATATCTCAACAACAACAACAACAACAAATATATATATATATATATGTGTATATATGTATATATATTTAATAAAATAAAGATATATATATAAAATATAATAAAATAAAGATATATATATCTTTAAATTGTAAGGTGCCTTCACCTAGATGTTATAATACCTGTTAGACCACATCCTGGAGAGGCTCTAAATGGTGTGTTCTCTCTAAAAGGGTGTGTGTTGTCTCTAACTGTCTATTTTTAGTATGTTACATTTTACACATATTCTCTCCAAACCCCAACTGTTTTTCCCAGCTCATATCTTTCTATCTGCCTACTCCAACATTACTGCCTTGTTTTCTTTTTTCTTCGTATCCATGACCAATAGTGTTTTGGCAAAGTTTACCAGACTTGAATCGTAGAAAAAACATATGTGTAATGTGTGATTAACCCTTTTCTAAACAGTTTAGCACCTTATGTCACTTCATAATATAGCAGCCCCCAGAAATTGGTCTTGTTCCCAGTCTGTAAATTATCAAAGAAGTCAGATTTATGGCCCACTGTGATGAGAATTGAGATCTGGGCACAATGTCAGAGCAATGACATTGATTAAGGTAGCTACCATGTTTTGTATGATAATAACAACAAAATATGTTTTAATTATGTTCTATATGAATGTATTACTTCACATAATCTTCACAATAGCCCTATTAGTATTTTAGTAGTTTTATCCCCATTTAAAATGTTTATTTTTTTTTTATTTCATAGAGAGAGAGAGAAAAGGAGAGAGAGAGAAAAAAACATTGATTTGTTGTTCCACGTATTTATGAATTAATTCATTGGTTGATTCTTTTATGTGTCCAAACTGGGAATTAAACCCAAAACCTTGGTGTATTAGGTTGATGCTCTAACCAACTGAGTTACGGGATCAAGAAGGTTTTATCCTAATTTTACAAATAAAGGAAATGTGCATAGGGCAGTTAATAATTTTTTTCTAGGGTCATAGAGCTCATAAGAGGGAGGAATGGGTGTTAAAAATAATGATCTGCCTTTACAGTCTATGTTTATACCAGTGTTTCATACTGTTCCTTCTTCTTTGATCAACTCTTTCAGTTATGGTTTTCCTATTTAAGTTTATATCAATGACTATACCTCAGATAAAGCCTGGTGGGACATAGTCATCTTCAGGTGTTGTGGTTGGGTGAGTTATTATTATTATTGTGTCATTATTTCAACAAGTGTTTGCCAAGTGTCTTACCCAATACTAATACTGAGCTAGGTCTTCATGGCCATAGTTTTGTGGCAGACACAGGTCCTAAACAAATTGTTATAAATGGGTATCATAAGAAGAAATTGATAAGGTACTGTGGAAGGTCATGATGAAGTCCTAGTCCTAAAAACCAAATGGAAACTGAAGGATGAATAACAGTTAGTCTTTTGATAAGCCAGGGAAAAAGTGTTCTAGGTGGAGAAGAGCATGTTCAAAGCCTGGGGTTCAATTAAAGGCAGTTAGCCAAGGTTCCTCAGCTACATGTGGCTGGGGCATGGTGCCAGATCAGCTTTGAAGCTTCAAGTGCCACCCCAGGCCACTTCTGTGGAAATGTGAGAAAATGGAGAGGCCTAATTTTGCGTTTCAGTTGCTCCAGCAAGTTGTATGGGTGAAGAGCCAAAACTGACTCCAAACCACTTCGAAGTATACAGGATTCTTGGCATAGAGGATACCAGGATACCATCTAAGATAAAATGAAGCCATCTAGCTCACTATTTAGAGAAAAATGCTCAGTCCCCCAGTGGACTGTTATCATGTTGTTTTTCTTTCAAATGTTTTTCAATAACAACTTTGTTATTTACTATTATTTAAAGCCTTGGTAAAGAAAGTGCTACAGAATAGACAAGGGCTATCCATTAGCAATAAATAGGAATGATTTTGATACATTTATTTTTTGAAGATTTTGTGATACTTGACTCTTGTCACAATTATAGTTTCCTTTTTGGAATGACAGGATCATCTTTGTTATTATCCTTAATTCTGGTAACATGTTAAACTCTTATTCAGTACTGAATATTCTGTGAAGTTTTGTTCTTCTTGAAGCTGAGAACTGAGTAAGAGCCATAGAGGATAGCTTTCTTGAGTATCAAGCAAAGAAGAATAATTAGTCTTTCCAGCATCTCTCAAATATTTTACTGTTCACCACAGCCCAGGTACAGTACCAAGGACTGAAAAATACACACTTTGTCAGAGGCTATGGGGGCACATGGTTTTTTAAGGTGAGTGGCTGGGGAAAAGGGTAGGGACTAAAAAGTGAACTAAAAGAGTGCTAAGGACAAAGTTCACCTGCTTTCTAGGTGTTTGCCATGAGTATAAAGGACCAAGTGGCCTGGCAGTAAAGAAGAAACACTGACATAGGAAGATAATACATGTTCTGAGATTTCATCACAATCAAGGATTTCTAACACATTATGACAGGGCTTAGTTCTCTTTCTGATTCATATTCTGTGCTATGGGATCATTTGGTTCTTGAGCCTATAGGATTACTGACTGATTTCTTTCTGGTCAGATTCTTTTCAGCTACACACAGACTCTTCTTATAATAAAAACCAGATTTCTGTTATAGTTTGCATTACATTCAGGTAACATGTTGCCCTCTGGAATGAGCAAGTGTCGAGTCTGAGTCATATTTTCCACACTGATGGCAAGCCTCCATGCTTTCTAAGTCTGGCATTGAAGGGGAGACTAGGAAATAAAAAACTGCATCTGGGTCAGAACATGTATTTTCCACCCATAGGATTATTTGGCTTCTGGGGAGAACAAGGACTTGGAGCTACTGTGGCTGATTTCCCAGCACAGGAGAGTAAGTAAAAAACCTCTAATTCACAATCAGTAAAGGCTCCTAGACACACTGACTTAATTAGTGGAGAGTGGATTAATCTCTTCACTGGGCATGGTACAAGGGGGGGAAGCTTGAAGAAATCATTCAATTTTTGGCATCTCTAAGAACCTTATTTGGAGCTGCCTTCAAAAATTCACAGAAGAGAGAAAAAAATGGCGGCGGAATAAACGGAGCTACACAGACCATCTCCCAGGACCAAACTGGATTCACAACGAAAATAAAAGCAAATCTTCAGGAAGGGGCAAACAAAAGACACCTTGGAGGACCACATAACCAGGGACACCGACTCAAACCTGTCAGGCTTGCGAGGACGTGAGAGGGGGCCGGGAGCCCATGGTCCACAGGAGCCTGGGCGGGGACCTGGGAACTCAGTGGCGGGAAGGTGCTGCTACCACCTCTGCTGAGACCCCGCCTGAGTCCTGCGAACTCTGTTGCCTCTCAAGCCCTTGGCTGATACCGCAGGGAATCACTGGGACCAGGGAACTCGGTGGCGGGAAGTTGCTGCTAAAGCCTCCGCTGAGACCCTCCTGAGTCTTGCGAACTCTGCTGCCTGCTAAGCCCTTGGCTTGTGCCGCACGGGCTGGCACGGACTGGCTCCGACCAGGGGACTCGGTGGGATGCTGTTACCCAGGCTGACTCCTGCAAACTCTGGGTGCTAAGCCCTTGGAAGGAGCCGCACAGACTCGCAGGGACCAGGGGACTCTGCAGGAAGGTGCTGCCATCCCGGCAGTGTCCTGCTACCGTGGCTCAGTCCTGGGGATTCTCTTGAGTGCAAAACCCACTGCAGCTGCCACAGCTGTGGCCGCCCTTGGCTGGAAGCAGCGCTCTCAGGTTAAAAGACACAGGTGGCTCTACGAGACAGAGTCTAGAAAGAGGATAAATTAGCAGCAGCCACTCACCTTTGGCTTCAGCAGAGGGAGGGCAGACAGAATGGAAATATGTGGGGACACTCGGGTTTAGGAGGGTGCTAAGAGTTTCGCTGAGTGCAGCCACGCAGGACTGGTCATTTTGCTCCTTCCCAAGGCCCTGGGGAGAGGGGAGGTGGAGGCCCCACCCTCAGAGATTCAATCCCACCTGGTGGCCATTGAAATGCTAATTGAGGCCCATTAACAACCAGCAGCTGCCCCAACCTCAGAAAATCCTCTTACACTGAGCACCTGAGGGAGTTTTTCAGACAACTCAGAAACCAAGGGTCTTCAGGGGACCTCTAATAGCCTCCAAGCAAAAAAAAAAAAAAAAAAAAAAACAAAGCTACAGGATAACTAACATTCCCTGGGCTAGCAACACTAACCAGAAAAACTAAGACTTGAAGGTGGTGTTTAAAGTGGGTCCTCCCTGGGTCATCCAAACCCAGGAGAGGGAACCACAAACAGCAGAACACCAACACCCACAGGTAAAAATTTGGCAGACTCCAAAGCCCACTATGATAGTCAAAATGTTTAAAAACAGAAACAAATGCCAAATGAAAGAACATGAGACCTCTACGGAAGATGAGATAAATGAGGTGCAGTTAAGCAAGTTAACAGAACTAGAATTTAGAGCCATGATGTTGAGGAAGCTCAACAGCATGTGTAAGGATATGAGCACCATGAGTAAAGACATAGAAATGTTGAATATCTACCAGTTGGAAATTAAAAACCAACAGGAAGAAATGAAGAATGACATATCAGAAATGAAAAACGCATTGGAAGGTCTAAAAAGCAGAGTAGGGGAAGCTGAGGACCGGATC